CCTCATCCCCAGACTACAGAGATCAATTCTTGTGGAGAAAATGGATGCTTTGGTGGGTGGAATCTATGGCATTATGCTCCACTGAGGTTCCTCCCCTCCCCCCAAATCTCCAGGAACTTCCCACCCCAGATCCGGCAACCTTATGTATTTATATTTATTTATTATTCCAACTTTTACCCCGCCTTCCCCGCCAAAGCAGGCTCAGGGCGGCTCACGTAAAACCAGTAAAACAATATATATTCCATACAAAAATACCTTACCGCATGGTATCTTGACTGTGTGCAGCCAGATGCATCATGCGGCTCTGAAAAGATTTGTCACGTGCAAAAATAATGTCGCCAAGGTTAGCTGTGTGCTAAAAGGACACATCATCCTGAGTCAGACCAATCACTGGTCTCTTGAGGTCAGTCTTGTTGTCTACTCTGACGGGCCCGTGGCTCTCCTGGCTCTTTTTTATCTCAGAACCTATAAAGGTTAGTCAAGAATAGAAGAGGGCCAGAGAAGCATACGACTTGCGGCTAAGAGTTGCCAAATAGCACTTATGAACTAAAAAGATTTATGGATGAACTGGAAGAAGTCTATGTGCATACTGAGAAGAAATTAGATATATACCAAAATGGACTAACTAATCTCCTAAATTCCTTGACTTAATGAAAGCATTAATTTTTATAACTAACAGCATACTAACTGTTAATGACCCTACTTCCTTGGGTTTTTAGTTATAGTGTGGGTTTTCTTTCTTTATACTGTCTGTATCCTGGGGTTTTTTAACCACTGGGCAAAGAAGAGAAATACAAAAATACAAATGAAACTTCCAGTGCAATCACATGTCCAGTGGTACTTCTCTCTGGGCAACTTATATATTCTCCTGAGCTTGTACAGCCAAATGTTCCCAATGAAATGTTTCTTAAGTCTTAATGGCTCTTATGTCTTGCCAGTCCTTGGCATGTTCACTCGTTAAATTATACATATACATACTGGAGGTTTCATTTGTATTTTTCATCACTCCTTGGGTGAAGAAGGACTTCCTTTTATCTGTTCTAACCCGACTGCTCAGCAATTTCATGGAGTGCCCACAAGGAGTTCTTGTATTGTGAGAGATGGAGAAAAGGACTTCTTTCTCGACCTGCTCTATCCCATGCATAATCTTGTAAACCTCGATCATGTCACCCCCTCAGTCGTCGTTTCTCCAAGCTAAAGAGCCCCCCCAAGCGCTTTAACCTTTCTTCGTAGGGAAAAGGAAAGTGTCCCAACCCTTTTATCGTTCCAGTTGCCCTTTTCTGCACTTTTCCCAATGCAGTCATGGCACCACATTGGGTTAGGGTTAACCGCGCCCCTCTGAGCTCCTAGAAGGAAAGGCAGGATCCTGCCCCTCTTTAAAGTCACAGATTGCTTGACGAGGCTGACTTTGTTTCCAGACTGTGATCCAGTGTGGGGGGGTGTAGTGGTTAAGAGAGTTGGACTCGGAACTGGGAGGCCCTTCTTTGCCATGGAAGCTCGCTGGGTGACCTTGGGCCAGTCACAGTCTCTCAGCCTGACCTACCTCACCGGGTTGTTGTGAGGAAACAATAGAGGAGAATGATGTCAGCTGCTTGGAGGGGCCTCCACTGGGCAGAAAAGTGGTGGTGGGGAAGTGAACATAAGAACATAAGAGAAGCCAGTGTTGGATAAGGCCGATGGCCCATCCAGCCCAACACTATGTGTCACACAGTGGCCAAAAATACCAGGTGCCATCAGGAGGTCCACCAGTGGGGCCAGGAGGACACTAGAAGCCCTCCCACTGCTGCCCCCCCCAAGCACCAAGACGACAAAGCATCCCTTGCCCCAGAGCCCCTATTTCTACCTTGTGGCTAATAGCCACTGATGGACCTCTGCTCCATAGGCTTATCTAATTCCCTTTTGAAGCCGTCCATGCCTGTAGCCGCCACCACTTCCTGTGGCAGTGAATTCCAAGTGTTAATGGAATAACACATGGAATTCACATGGAGCAAAGTGAATTACATCAATAAACAATACTGCTAAAATTAATGATCACCCTCCCCCTGCACACTTTTGCTATGACCGTGTGTAACAAGGCGACAACGAGTCACGGTTGTGCCATTCGGGTGCTGCACGTTCCGTACGCATGAGATTTCTTCTATTGAAGAAGAAGACACCCTTTTGAAGGCAAAGAGAATTCACATGGAGCAAAGTGAATTACATAAATAAATAATACTGCTAAAATAAAAAATACTGCTACCTCCCCCTCCCCCTGCACACTTTTGCTATGACCGTGTGTAACAAGGCGACAACAAGTCAAGGTTGTGAGCAGAGCATCACACGATTGCTGCCATTCGGGTGCGCATAAGATTTCTCCTATTGAAGAAGAAACCATCCTTTTGAAGGCAAAGAAAGTCAACAGAAAGCAGCCAGGTTCTATAACCAGCTGGTTCCCTGCTGGCAGAATAAGAGCCCGTGTCAGGTTAGATGCCCTTTCTGTTAACAGCCGGACACGTTTAAACAAGAGGGATTCCAAGACCTACCTGCGTCGTTTTACAGACCCCAACTGCGCAAGACTCCCTCTTCTTATCTGCGTGATGGCCGAGGGCAGATAAGGCAGGGTGAATGCTGGTTCCCTGCTGGCAGAATAAGAGCCAGCGTCAGGTTAGACACCCTTCCTGTTGACAGCCAGACACATTTAAACAAGAGGGATTCCAAGACCTGCCTGCGTCGTTTTACAGACCCCCAATTGCGCAAGAGTCCCTCCACTTATCTGCGTGATGGCCGGGGGCAGATAAGGCAGGGTGAATCAGCAGAGATCAGGCAAACATGGAGTTGAAGAATTAAGCCTTCTGCTAATGTCCTTTTCTGGAGCCCTTCAGAAAGAGAGGGTATTCCAAGCCACAGGGTTGCCAGGCCAGCCCTGGGTTGGGAAATAGCTGGAGATGTGGGGGGAGGAGCCTTGAGAGGGCGGGGTTTGGGGAGGGGAGGAGCCTCGGCCTGGTGTGGTGCCGTACAGTCCGCCCTCCAGAGCAGCCATTTTCTCCAGGGGAGCTGATCTCTGTGGTCTGTAGGTCAGTTGTCAAAGCAGGAGACCTCCAGCCCCCACCTGGAGGTTGGTAACTGTCAGCTAAGCTGCCATGAGTGTGGAGAGGCTTTCTAATTGCTTTGCATTCCTTCCCATGCGCTTAATTGCTTCAAAGTTGCAAAGCTTATCTGTAAAGTGTTACTGGAGGAGATGGTGGTGTCTATCTTCCGTGGGAGCTTCTTCGTTCCCAGCTTCGCAACCGTTAGAGAGTCTT